AATGTAAAGCATCACATTTGTCAAACAAATTTAAACAGCATTGACAAATGCGATTTTTATTTATTTTTATTTCAATAGATTCAGGGGGTGCAAATGTTTTTTTCCTATATAGATGAATTGTATAGTGGTGAAGTCGGGGTTTTAGTTTACCCATTACCTGAATAGCAAACATTGTATCTGAAAGGTAATTTTTTGTTTCTCAGCTCCCTCTCACCCTCCCCACTTCTGATTTTCCAACAGCCATAATACCATTCTATATGACTATACATAACCATTGCTTAGCTCCAACTTATAAGTGAGGATGCATGGTATTTGTTTTTTCATTCTTGAGATACTTCACTCATGATAATAATGGTCTCCAGTTCAACCCAAGTTGCTGCAAAAGACATTATTTAATTCTTTTTATGACTGAGTAGTATTCCATGGTATGTGTGTGTGTGTATATATATATACACACACCATTTTCTTTATCCACACATTAGTTGACGGGCACTTAGGTTGATTCCACATCCTTGCAGTTGTGAGTTGTGCTGTGATTAAGATACAAGTGTAGGTATCTTTTTTTTATATAACGACTTATTTTCCTTTGTATAGATATCCAGTATCTACTGCATTGCTGGATCAAATGGTTGGTCTACTTTTAGTTCTTTAAGGAATCTTCATACTATTTTCCATAGAGGTTGTACTAATTTACATTCCCAGTAAAAGTGTATAAGCGATCCTTTTTCACTGCATCTGCAATTTTGACTTTTTAATGATGGCCATCTGAGAGGGATAAGTTGGTATTTCATTGTAGCTTTAATTTGCATTTCCCTGATAATTAGGGATGTTGAGTATTTTTTTTAATGTTTGTTTGCCATTTATCTTCTTTTGGAAAATTTCTGTTTATGTCTTTACCTACTTTTTAATGGGGTTGTTTTTTTTAATTTTCTTAAGTTCCTTATAGATTCTAGATATTAGTCCTTCATCAGACATGTAATTTGCAAATATTTTCTCCCATTCTGTAGGTTGTATATATTCTCTTGTTATAATTTCTTTTTCTGTGCAGAAGCTTTTTAGCTTAATTAAGTCTATTTATTTACTTTTCTTTTTGTTGTATTTGCTTTTACAGTCTTAGTCATAAATTCTTTGCCTAGGCCAACGTCCAGAAGAGAGTTTCTGAGGTTTTCTTACAGAATTTTTATGGATTCGGGTCTTACATTTAAGTCTTCAATTCATCTTGAGTTAATTTTTTATAAATCATGGGAGATGCTCATTTTCATTCTTCTCTATATGACTGTCTAATTTTCCTAGCACCATTTATTAAATATGGCATCACTTCCCAAGTTTATGTTTTTGTTTGCTTTGTCAAAGATAAGTTGGTCGTAAGTATACAATTTTATTTCTGAGTTCTCTATTCTCCATTAATCTATGTGTCCACTTTTATAGCAGTACTATACTGATTTGGTTACTATGGCCTTGTAGTATAATTTGAAGTCAGGTAATGTGATACCTCCATATTTGTTCTTTTTGTTTAGGATTGCTTTGGCTGTTCAGGCTCTTTTTTAATTCCATATGAACTTTAGGATTTTTTTTTTCTAATTCTGTAAAAAAATGATGTTTGTATTATGATGAGAATTGCATTGAATCTATAAATCACTTAGGGCAGTACGAACATGTTAATAATATTGATTCTTCCAATTCATGAGCATGGGATGTTTTTCCATTTGTTTATGTTATCTACAATTTTTTTTTTTTGCAGCAGTTATAAATGGTATTGAATTCTTGATTTGATTCTCATCTTGGCAATTGTTAGCAGGTAGAAATGCTACTGATTTGTCTACGTTAATTTTGTAACATAAAACCTTACTGAATTCCTTTTTCAGTTCTAGAAATTGTATGAATGAGGCTTTAGGATTTTCTAGATATGAGATCACATCCTTGGCATACAGGAATAGTTTGACTTCCTCTTTCCCAATTTGGATGGCATTTATTCCACTGTCTTACCTTTTTCTCTGGCTAAGACTTCCAGGACTTTATTAAATAGAAATGGTGAAAGTATGCATTCTTGTGTTATTGCAATTCTTAGGGGGAATGCTTTCAACTTTTTCCTGTTCAGTGCAATGTTGGTGGAGGGTTTGTCATACATGGCTTTTAACATTTGTAGGTATGTTCCTTCTATGCCTAGTTTGTTGAGGGTTTTTTTTTTCATGAAGAGTTGTTGAATTTTATCAAATGCTTTTTCTGCATCTATAAGATGATTATATATTTTTCTTCTTAATTGCTTTTATGTGGTGCATCACATCTATTGATTTGCACATGCTGAGCCCTCCTTGCATTCCTGGGATAAAACCCACATGATCATGGTCATTTTCTTTTCGATCTTCTTTTGGACTTAGTTTGCTAGTATTTTGTTGAGGAATTTTACATCTATATACATCAGGGATATTTGTTTGTAGTTTTCTTTTCTTGTTGTGTCTTTCCCTGGCTTTGGTTTTATGGTGATACTGGCTTTGTTGAATGAGTTAGGAAGGATTTCCTTCCTCTCAGTCTTGGAACAGTTCTGGTACATACCCATTTTTCTTTGTCAGTCTGACATAATTCAGCTGTGAATCCATTTGGTACTGGGCTTTAGTTTGTTAGGAAATGTTGTATTAATGATTCCGTCTCACTACTCATTTTTGGTCTGTTCAGGATTTTTGTTTCTTCTTGCTTCAAGCTTGGGAGGTTGAATCTTTCAAAAAATTTATCTATTTTCTCTAGATTTTCTAATTTTTGTGCACAGAGGGATTCATAATACTCTCAGGTGATGCTTTGTGTATCTATGGTATCAGTTATAATGTCTACTTTCTCATTTCTGATTGAGTTGATTTGAATCCTCTTTCTTCTTTCCTTAGTTAATCTGGTTAATAGTCTATTGATTTTGCTTATCTTTTCAAAGGACCAACTTTATGTTTCACTGATCCTTTGTATTGTTTGGGGGGTTCTGATTTCATTTAGTTCTGTTTTGATCTTTATTATTTCTTGTGTTCTGCTAGCTTTTGGTTTGGTATGTTCTGTTTTTCCAGTTCCTGGAGATGAGACATTAGGTTATTAACTTGTGATCTTTCTGTCTTTTTGATGTAAGCATATAGTGCTATAAACTTCCCTCTCAGCACTGCTTTTACTGTATCCCAGTGATTTTGGTAACTTATATAACCACTCTTATTTAATTTAAACAATTTTGTGATTTCTATCTTGATTTCATCATTGACTCAAAGATGATTCAATAGCACACTGTTAATTTCCTTGTATTTGTATAATTTTGAGAATTCCTCTTCAAATTGATTTCTACCTTTATTACACTGTGGACTCAGAAGATATACGATATGATTTAAATTTTTTAAAATTTTGTGACACTTGTTTTGTGGCTTAACATACGGTCTACCTCAGAAAATATTCCATGTATTGATGAAGAGGAATGTATGTTCTCTAGTTTTCAGGTTGAATGTTCTGTGAATGTTAGGTCCATTTGTTCTAGAGTCCCATTTAAGTCCCATGTTTCTTATTGATTTTCTGTATCAATGATTTGTCTACTGTTGTCTCTAGAGCGTTGTAGTCCCCCACTATTATTATATTGCTATTTATTTCTTAGGTCTACTAGTATTTGTTTTATGAATTTGGGAATTTTGGTTTTAGGTGTATATATATTTAGGATTGTTGATCTTCTTGTTGAATTGTCACTTTATCATTATATTATAACCATTTTTGTCTTTTTTTGCTGTTGTTGAATTAAGTCTGTTTTATCTAGTATAAGGAATAGCTATTCCTGCTCACTTTTGGATTCTGTTTGCATGGAATATTTTTCCCACTCCTTTACCTTAAGTCTGTGATAATCTTTACAAATTAAATGGGATTCTTGGAGACAGAAGATATTTGGGTTTCATTTGTTTATCCATTCCACCATTCTATATTGGTCATTTGTACCATTTACATTCAAAGTTAATATTGATATATGAGATACTGTTGCAGTCATCATGTTGATTGCTACCTAGTTGCTTTTTATTCTCCTCTGTGTTAAAGTTTTATAATAGTTGTGAGTTTTTACTTTCAAATGTTTTTATACCTGTATCAACCATTCTTTTTCATGTTTAGATGACTTTTTATCACTTCTTGTAGGGCCAACCTAGTGGTAGAAAATTTACTTAGTGTTTGCTTGTCTTGGAAAGACTTTATTTCTCTTCAATTATGAAACTAAGTTTTGCAAAATTCATGGCTGACACTTACTCTTTTTAAGAATACTAAAGATAGCACACCAATCCCTTGTGACATGTAAAATTTCTGCTAAGAAGTCAACTATTATTCTAATGGATCTTCTTTGCAAATTATTTGATGTTTTATCTCACAGCACACAGGAATTCCTCCTTCACACTGACATTGGCCTGTCTGATGACTATGTGCCTTGGTGATGTCCTTTTTGAAATGAAACTCCTAGGATTTCATTGACTTTCTTGTATCTGGATGTCCAATTCTCGAGCAATACCACGGAAGTTTTCCTCAAATAATCCCTCACATAGGCTTTCAAAGCTTTTTACTTTTTGATGTTTTCCTTCAGGAATACCTACAATTGTCATTTGGACATTACACATAATCCCATTACTTTTGAGAAACTTTGTTCAATTCCTTTCTTTATTTTTTATTTTTGCCTGACTGGGTTAATTCAAAAGACTGGTCTTGAGCTTTGAAATTCTTTCTTCTGCTTGGTGTAGTCTACTATTAAAATTTTCCACCATGCTTAATATTTCCCTGAATGGCTGGGCGCAGTGGCTCACGCCTGTAATCCTAGCACTCTGGGAGGCCGAAGTGGGCAGATTGCTCGAGTTCAGGAGTTCGAAACAGCCTGAGCAGAGTGAGACCCCGTTACTATAAATGAATTAATTGTGCCAACTTATAATATATTTATATGTCCACCCGTCGATTATTATTATATTATTTATTATTATATATATGTTATATATATATTATATATATGGCATGTCACATTAACCTACTCTTTGAAGAATGTCTGATCCATTCTTCCTCAGAGTAAGGGTGAAGCTCTCAGTTTTCTTTAAAAGACAGAAAAGAATGTGGAGAATTTATAAATATCTATGAATTTTTAAATAATAGAATCCTTGATAAAAGAGTTTATGATTTGAAAAACAATAAATAAGAAATTAGAATACACTTAGGTAAATTATAGTTTTAAAAATTTTCTGACATATAAAAGTTTACCAAGGGATAAACACCTTCTCTGAACTTATATTTCTGTTGATTTCTCTTCTTGAAGATCAAACTAGAGACATTAGAATTATTCAAAATAGGTAGAAGAGCTCAGATTACCTTAAAAGATTTCACAAATGCAACTGCTCTTAAGTATTTGGTAAATAAGTAAGAATATGGCTATCTATCTGAAGGATAAGATATGAATATATTCCTTCAAAAGTCTCTTGTGGTCTTAGAATATAAAATCTCATCTCTACAGGTTTCTAGATAAATCTCCTGGTGGCAATGAGCTTCAACTGACATTTTCATGGCATGTTCATCATTAAGAATTTCCACATGCATCAGAGGAAAGAAAAGTTCAGTCAATTTATCAGTGACAATTTGACAGCTTTACTCTTACACTGGTCAAGAGTGATTGAAGGGTGGGAGAATAAAGAACTGATATGGAGAGTGAACAAGAACTAAAAATAACAGAGAGGCCATTTAATAGACTCACGATGTCAGAAAACTGATATGCATAATCTTGGTTTTTGCTTACTTAATGAACTTGGTACCCGTATAGAAATTCACTTATCTCACTGAATTTCTGTATTTCCCATGGGAAATGTTGACAATTATATACCTGATTTATAACAACCAACAAAGCAAGAGTAATTTTGATTCAGCCAGTATTAATTAAGCTCAACACTATATGCCTTATATGAAATAGCTTATTTTTTGTTTAATTACCAAACAATCTCAAAAATTATTAAAAGTTAGAATATTATTCATCTTATTTCCTTACCATTCACTTACCACACTTCGCAGTAAACTAAAGGGCTCCCCATTACAAGTCAGAGCTCCCAGAGCAATACTTTCACCAAGTGTATTCACCAGGTCATCCTGGCAAATATAATAGAAAAAGATAGCAGATAAAAATAAAATGAAAGTGTTATATTTAAAATATTAATACCAAAGATAAGCATGCTGACCCAATAATAGTAATTTAAATATTTCTCCATTATTTCTACCTTTTACACAGCCATTGCCTTACTATAAAAAATAGAGATTATTATTGTTTTAATTACTTCTATTGACAAGACAGCAGGCCTATGAAAGAAAAAACAGTAAGTGAGTCAATATACTCTCTATACTACCTAATTCTCCATGCTTACTAAGAGATCATGAGATTACATTAAAGATTAAACATATTTATTTTACATTCATTTAATGATGTAAAACTACTAGTGTGTACATTGCTAAATGACACTAAAAGCTAAACTTCACTCCCTTCAAAAATAATATGAAATTTCACAAAACAGTTTTGTGCACACTATTTCATTGTCCTCATACCTTGATTTACTTACCTGAGAAAGGTATTTCAAAATTAGATCAAAAAAATCTAGTCGGGCATATACAAAAACTGGAAGTGGCCTTGCAATATCAAGAAATTTGGAAATCCTAATGGCTTCATAAATTCGATTACGTGCATAGAGCGCAACTTGTGTAGAAGACAGTCTGCTACTCAAATAAATAGATGGAAAAAGGGCAGTGCTTTCGTTCCACAACCAGCTAAGAGCATCATTTCTTATTTTCTCTATGTCAAAGCAATCTCCAGTGAAATCTTGTTGATTATAATTATAGTTGTAACAATCAGGAAAAAGATAATAACCCCATAAGCGATGTGGCCGAAGTAATTTTCCCAATTTTAAAGTCTCTAGCATGAAATCCTTTGCTGCTTTTTCAAATTCAACTATGGCTATGTTGGTAGCTTCTGTGTCATTAAGGTGTAGATTTTGTTGCCTGACCAAGTCAATAGACTCACTCTTATAAACATGTTTAGGTTTCCAGTTTCTTCCCCAAGTGGGCCTCCATTCTTTCCAATCAATGACAGCCAACCCGGTATCATCATTTGGGATGTAAAAGACAATGTCTTTCTCGGCTTTGTCCAAATGCTTTTTTAAGGGTGCCTTCTGGGGAATTCCTCCATGTATAAGTCTGCCTGTGATATCTATATAAGGATAGTAGCCAAGTCTATCATTATAAAATATTGTCATATTTTGCCCTGTGACATTTTCTCGAGGGCTTCCTACTAAAGAGAAGAGGCTCAGATCTATTGGCCCATCCAGCCCTGCAAGACAAAGTTCAGATGGGGCATTCCAGGCCCAGAGGAAAGGCACATCTGGGAAAAGAGGGGGTGCTCTGAAATCCAGAGCCAAGCAACATGGAATCAGAAGGAAGGTGAACACTGTCTGGGATACTGCATTGGACCCAACAAAGCTCCTGAAAAAGATGTTCTTGAACCTTAGCACTCCCATTGGAAACAGCAATGACTATAAAAAAACATATTTCCTCCTACACACTTTGATTTACTCGATATTAGATGTAAGATATTAGAACATATAAAAGAGAGTAGAGTGAAGCCACTTTGTTGTTTGATAAAGAGGTACAATGATTGTATTACACCTAAATATTGTTCTTCTTGTTTTATGTACCAGGAATGTTTTGCAAGTTGCATCACCTATAACTGATAAAAGAAACATAGAATATATTATTATGTTGCATTTTATAATAAAGATCATAAGCTTTACCATGTTCTAAACTTTAAGTGCAGGAATTTTAATTGTTTTTTTAATTTATTTTTTATATGAAGGGGGTAGTGGGGAGGGGATTAATTTCTTTTCTTTTTCTTTTCTTTTCTTTTTTTTTTTTTTGAGACAGTCTCACTCTGTCGCCCTGGGTAGAGTACAATGGTCATCATTGTAGCTCACTCCAGCCTCAGACTACTGGGATCAAGCGATCTTCCTGCCTCAGCCTCCTGAGTAGCTAGCACTACAGGTGTGCACCATGATACCCAGCTAATTTTTCAATTTTTAATAGAGACAGAGTCTCGTTTTTGCTCAGGCTGGTCTCTAACTCCTAAACTCAAGCAATCCTCCTGCCTCGACCTTCTACAGTGCTAGGATTACAAGCATGAGCCACCATATCCATGCTTAATTCAATTTTAAAAGATGGAAAAGCTAGTCCTGTGTTTGAATCAATAAAATTATTTCCTCTTACAAATGATGCAAACTCTATAATGGTTAACATTTGTTTCATTTTCCCAAATCATTACTGAGCCTACAGAGAGGTGAAGGTAACTATTTTTCCTTTTGCCTTCCCCGGTGTACAGAATGCTGTACCAAGCAATGCCTTGGCAAAAGCCCGTAGAAGGAAAATAAATTCAAAGTTGAACTTCTCATTCATGTTTATTGCTTCTCAAAAGATTGTTTTATAGTAGTCTCTAAATATTGCAAACAATATCTTATGGAATCGTGATCATTTTCTTTTCTTTTTTTGTTTTCTTTTGTTTGTTTGTTTTATTTGAACAGGCACAATAAGGGGATAGGGAAAAGTCACTTCTGCTAGAGATAATAAATCAAAAGTTTGCTTGGACTTAACCAACCAAAACTCTTCTCCTGCTCTTTGTCCTCTCCTGCTCTTTTGAACACTGTTTGATCAAGTCTTACAGTAATATACTCTCATGTTTAAGTCAATAAAACAGTTTACTACTTTACTACTCAAAGGATTGGTTCTATTCTAGCTTTAAAAAAAGCAATATATGGATTTTGGTCTTGTTATTGTGTTTGATAAGTGACATTATGTTGTCAGACTGATTTTCAAAAAATGAAGTGTTATAGCACACACTGTTGCTATATGGTACCACTTTTGTGGTACAATGAAATAGGTCTGAGCCAAGGAAAAGAAATTAAACTATGTATTATTCAGCATTTGATATTTGTAAAAGTTACCTACAAGAAGACATATTTAAATGTTCTGTGATTCTAAAAGAAACCTTTCTTTTTAATTAGACTAGTACTATACTGCTATGTAAAGGAATAAGAATTACACTATTCTTTCCATGAATATTTGTCCTTACTATAGCAAATTATCCATTCATTCTCATCATTGAAACATAAATTACTCTAAAGATAAAACCTGCACATGAGATTTGGGCCTTGTAGAAGAGAGAGAGAGAGAGAGGGAGAGAGAGAGACCATAGTCAGAATAGAATGAAATATCAAGAACCATTAGAGTCTAATGTTTTGAAGATAATAAATTTTTCCCACATGTTTAGAACATATAAAGTAGCTAAAGATTTTTATAGTTTAAACCTTATAAACTTTTTTACTCAGGACCTAGAAAATCTTCAGCTAAAATTAATATTGGGGCAAAAACTAATTCCTTTTAAAAACCAAATGTCAACACAAATACCTGAATGGCAGGGAGTGGGAGAAGGAAATGAAATAAAGGATTAGCTTTTCCTATGTCTCGGGGAAGGAGTAGGCTAATCTTATAGAGATTAATATTCAAATCTATTTCCACACGATCATTTTATATAAGAAAAACAAGGGGCAGAATAATCCTATTGAGAAGATCTCTACCTACAGAAATCTTCAAAAAAGAAGGGACACATCTATCCTTGAAAATTGACCGAATGAAAAATCTCTACTTTAGTGAAAATCCAAGACAAAGCGTTGAGACACAGAATTGGCACAAAATTGGGGCAGACTTAGAAGTCAGCATCTAAAACAGCATCTTCCTATTACTTAAAGTATCTAATAGAGAACTTTCCCTATTTAAATAGAGAGCCTCATGTGCCTGGAAATCATCCCTTAGCACTCTAGCCTGCGGGACATAGTGAGACCTTATCTCAAAAGAACGTTTTAAAAAAACCTTATACCTGGTGCAAAAGAATTTTATCATTATCACACATACTAGCAAAATCCTTTGAACCAGGACCCCCTTGTCTGAGGAAAAGTCCAAAATTATTTTGTAATAAAAATTATATAGCTATGTGTAGATATCCACATATGTGATATTCACCAATACATATAGAAGTATCTATCAAAAGAGAAAATATAAAAAGCAACTTCAATACAAAATGATAAATTCTTAAATATGGTATTTCAGCCTGAGGGAATTTATGCAGGTATCAGAACTAGATATAAAGATAATGAAACAACATGTAAAGGTATTTGCCTAAAATACTAAGTGAAATAAACTACAAAAACACACACTATAATTAGACATATACAAAAACATGTAAGTACATGCTTAAGAAATTGATAACATTTAGAAAAATTTAAAGAAAGATGTAATTTCTGAATATACTCTGTGTGTATTTTTTTTTTTAAGAGACAGGGATTTTCTCTGTCCCCCAAGATAGAGTGCAGTAGCCCGATCATAGCTCACTGTAACCTCAAATTCTTGGGCTCCAGTGATCTTCCTAACTCACCATCTAGAATAGCTGAGACTACAAGCACACACCCACACACTCACTTGATTTTTTTATTTTTTGTGGGGACTTAGTTTCCTCATGTTGCCCAGGCCAGTCTCCAATTTCTGGCCTCAAAAACAATCTTCCCAACTCAGCCTTCCAAAATGCTGAGATTACAAGGGTCAGCCTCCCTGTCAGACTTGTTATATATATTTTTGAGCTTCTAATTTTCTTTCATCCAATCATCATAATGTTTCTCAAATAAAAAGTGGAAACAAAGTGAAGAAATTAAGTGTGCCAGAAGAAATTTGAGCTTAGCTTCTCTTGAGTGGAGGAAGAAAAAGAACCATAAATATTCCTACACTTTATTCAGCAGGATGCTTGTACAAGGAGTTCTTGTTTAATTTTTGGGAAGAGGAGGTGCTGATTGGGATTTTTTTTCAAATAAATTATGTTGTATATATTTAAGGTATACAACATGATTTTATGGAAAAATTGGGGTTTTTGAGGTAAGGAGAAAATAATATCAGACAGAAAAAGCCAAACAAAAGAGCCAGATTTCTTAGCTTAATACTTTGTTCTTCTTTTCCAAAACAAATGCTTCATTTCCATAACAAATGCTTTCTCCTTAGAGAATTATAACGAATGGATATAGAAGTCAGTTAGGAAACTATCTCTAGAATCTACCTTTTGGCGTTCCCATTTCCCATGAGTCTATGAATATAGTAGCTGTAAGGAAATAACTGAATTCAGAGAACAGAGAACCCAGATATAAAACCATCCTCATACTGCCATCTAATCTTTAACAAAGCAGACAAAAACATACACTGGGGAAAAGAATCCTTATTCTATAACTGGTGCTGGGAAAACTGAATAGCTACATGTAGAAGACTGAAACAGGATCCACACCTTTTACCTCTCACAAAAATCAACTCACACTGGGTAACAGACTTAAACCTAAGGTATGAAACTATTAGAATTCTAGAGGAGGCCGGGTGCGGTGGCTCACGCCTGTAATCCTAGCACTCTGGGAGGCCGAGACAGGCGGATTGCTTGAGGTCAGGAGTTCAAAACCAGCCTGAGCAAGAGCAAGACCCTGTCTCTACTATAAATAGAAACAAATTAATTGGCCAACTAATATATATATAGAAAAAATTAACCGGGCATGGTTGTGCATGCCTGTAGTCCCAGCTACTTGGGAGGCTGAGGCAGGAGGATTGCTTGAGTCCAGGAGTTTGAGGTTGCTGTAAGCTTGCTGATGCCGTGGCACTCACTCTAGCCTGGGCAACAAAGTGAGACTCTACCTCAAAAAAAAAAAAAAAGAAAGAAGAAAAGAAAGAATTCTAGAGGAAAATGTTGGAAATACTCTTCTAGACATTGGCCTAGGCAAAGATATTAAGAAGAAGACCCCAAAGGCAATCACAGAAACAACAAAAATAAATAAATGGGACCTGATGAAACTGAACAGCTTCTGCACAGCCAAAGAAATAGTCATGAGAGCAAACAGATAACCTACAGAATGGGAGAAAATTTTCACAAGCTACACGTCCAATAAGGGGCTGACAACTAGAATCTATTTAGAACTCACGAAAATCAGCAAGAAAAAAATCGAACAACCCTATCAAAAAGTGGGCAAAGGACATGAACAAAAATGTTTCAAAAGAAGACAGAATAATGGCCAACAAATATGAAAAAATGCTCAACATCTCTAGTCATCAGGGAAATGCAAATCAAAACTGCAATGAGATATCATTTATCTCCAGTAAAAATGGCCTTTATCAAAAAGTCCCCAAACAATAAATGTTGGCCTGGATGCAGAGAGATAGGAACACTCCTACACTGCTGTTGGGACTGCAAACTAGTTCCTCTGTGGAAAGCAATATGGAGATACCTTAAAGCGACACAAGTAGATCTACCATTTGATCCAGCAATCCCACTACTGGGCATCTACCCAAAAGAACAAAAGACACTCTGTAAAGAAGACACCTCCACTCGAATGTCTATAGCAGCACAATTCACAATTGCAAAGTTGTAGAAACAACCCAAGTGCCCATCAATACATGAGTGGATTAATGTATTTTGTATTTTTCTGGATAGAGCTGGAACCCATTCTACTAAGTGAAGTATCCCAAGAATGGAAAAATAAGCACCACATGTACTCACCAGCAAATTGGTATTAGTGACCAACACCTAAGTGGACATATAGGAATAACATTAATCAGGTGTGGGCACGTGGGGGGGGGGAGTAGGGGATGGTATATACATAC